AACCCTAAACCCTGAACCCAATGCCTTTTTCGGACCTCGCCTGCCCCACCTTTTCGCAGAGTTCGGGGCTTGGCGGTTCCAAGTCTGCCCGCAGACCCCAGAGGCCCTAACCCAGTAGTCCGGCGCTCTTTTTTCAAAGCTCCCGACAATGAAGACGACCATGATGATGATGATGATGATTATGATTATGATTATGATTTTGATTATGATTATGATTATGATTATGATTATGATGCTGCTGATGATGATGATGACGATGATGATGACGATGAGGATGATGATGATGATGATGGTGATGATGATGATGATGATGATGATGATGATGATGATGTTGGTGACGATGATGATGACGGTGTTGGTGACGACGACGGTTCTGCTCATGGGCTTTAGGTTTTGGATTTGCAGCACCTCGGGCACCAGGTGCAACGCATGTCGACGTAATGTTAAGCTCTTGCGAAAACCCTAAACCCTTGACCCCTAAACCTCTAAACCCCTAAACCCAAACCCAAGCCCCTAAAACCCTAAGCTCCCAAGGACCTAAACCCTAAGCCCCTACATCCAGAACCTCAGTCGAGACCATGTACCCGAAGCCAGGAAGGCCCTTCTCCTCGGATTCGCTGAGCCCGGTAGACATGGGACCACTTTTTACACCATCCTCTGCATCTTAAAGTTGGGCATAGGGTTCAGGGGTTTAGGGTTTAGGGGTTTCGGGGTTGAGGGCTTGGGATTTAGGGTTTTTGAGTTTTGGGGTTTAGGGAACCTGTGTTCAGGGAACCGGGGTTCCGGTTTCTTTGGAAGACAGCCTCGGCCCTGAACTCCAAAACCTAACCATCTGATCCGAAACCCCGGGTTTAGGCTTTAGTTTTGGGGGCCTCAATAAATACCTATACTATTTTGGGGGTTCGCGATTATGATACGTATAGTATGACGGGCCCCAAAACTCCTTTTTTTACTTATGAAGGCCTCTCTATTAGGGTGATCAGGCTCCTGCCGATGGCGCTTTTTACGTTGACCTCCTGCGCAACCGCACGAACCCGGGAGCCGGGACCCTGGCGGTCTAGGGGTAGACTGGTAGGGCCCCAAAAGCCTATGGGTTTAGGGTTTAGGGTTCATCTTTTCGGGAAATGGGTAGTTTTCTAAATTAGGGTCCCTTCTGATTTTGAGGTTCCTTTTTATAAGGGTGCCGTACTAGATGGGGGACCCAAAAAGGGAACCTAATTTAGAGAACTACCCCCATGTAAACGGAGGTTCTGGAGCTTTTCACAGATGCTCCTGTCATGGAGGTTTGAGAAGCCTGAAACCCTACGTAAGGTCCTTGTGCCTTGCGTTTCTGTGGTCTTCTGAACACCAAGCCCAACACTTTCAAACAGGTCAACCCTAAGCTGAAACCCTAAACCCTGAACCCTGAACCCTAAACCCTAAACCTGGAACCACGAAGCCCAAATCCCACAGTCAACCCCACGGCTCGCAAAACTCAGGTCGATGACTCCAGCTATGTGAAGGCAAACTTCCTCCGCCTCGGACCGAGCATGGTGTAATATAGGGGCTCTTAATAATTTGAATAGGGTTTTGGGGGTATATTATACTTTAATTATAACAAGGAACCCCCCAAAATACTATTGGATTGGATTGGATAGCGGACAGTCGTGTCGCGAGCGACGCGTCCCAAAAATTATGAATTCGCGGTGAAACGATGCAGTGCTCTGGTACGCCAAAAGGCCCCGGATGATTGCCGGGGCCCCTCAGAAGAGCGCTCAGATATGTACTGTTCTATCCACTCCACGTCCGCCCTCTTTGGGTGAAAAGCCCTGCGCAGATCTGAAAGGGAACATGACTCATCAAAGTAGTCGACGCCTTCGAGGCGTTCCGAGGCAGTCGGGGTCATGGGCCCGAAAAAGACAGAACGCTGAAGCACCCCTTTATACCGAGCCCACTGTCCCTGTCGAACCTTCCGAGCATTCTGCTGCTCATCCTGTTCAACAGCTCTGATCTGAGCCCAAAATACTATTGGTAATTATTTAGGCTTTTATTAGTAGGTGTGCTGAGATATAGTAGTAGCAACACTATCTCCTCACAGTCCCCACCTTCGCCAACATTGGATGATCGACGGTGTCCACATCCTGATTGCGAATTGCCCTAAACCCTAAACCCCCAAAGCCTAAACCCCCTACCGTCCTGCATGCAGCAAGAGAAAGCGAGGTCACAGCCCTTCCGGAGGTTTAGAGTTTAGAGTTTAGAGTTTAGAGTTTAGGGTTTAGGGGTTTAGGGTTTAGGGTTTAGGGCTTAGGGTCTAGGGTTTAGGGTTCGCTCGTGGCAGCGTGAAGGTCTCGAGTCTGGAGTTACTTGCGCGGTTTTCACGCTCCCTTATCCTGAACCCTAAAGCCTGAACCCTGAACCCTAAACCCTAAGCCCTAAGCCCTGAGCCCTAAACCCCTAAACCCTAATCCCTAAACCCTAAACTTTGAACCCTAAACTAAACCCCTACACCCTAAACCCCTACACCCTAAACCCCTACACCCTAAACCCCTAAACCCTAAACCCCTAGACCCTAAAGCGTAAATCCATTGGGCCCCAGGCCCCAGGCTAGGCCCGACAGCACAAAGGCCGGCGTTCAGCGAAGAAGGGCTTAGGGTGCAGGGTTTGGGGTTTAGGGTGTAGGGTGCAGGAGTTTAGAGTGTAGGAGTTAAGGGTTTAGGGTTTAGGGTGTAGGGTTTAGGGTTTAGGGTTTAGAAACCCTAAAGTTTCGGGTTTAGGGCTTAGGGTTTAGGCTTAGGGTGCAGGGTTTAGGGTTTAGCAT